CTTTAAATCTCCGCGGCAAAGGGTTAACTGTTTTAGCATTTGACGTGCACTTGGGTGGTACCTGCTTCAAGTTACAGCTGAGAACAGTCTATCCTGAGTGAAATTTTAACTGATTTTTTGGAATCCCTCCCGGCATATGTTGGTATCTTCTGCTTTTATTAATTTATGGGTCTATAGCTTGTTCTCAATTCCTTCCTGATCTTAGACCTTATGTTATTTCTCACTCTTGGTTTACATTGAGGTTCCTGTAAATTTCTATGATGTGTAGCTACTTCTATGCAGTCTTGATCATTTTCATCTGTGGAGAGTATAATATAATAATTATGTGTTAATTAACCTTTAAAGGCTGAAAGGGACACATTTGTCTCATAACGTAAGTGTGAGAGGCCGAATGGGATACTATTGTCCCATTATGACGTGACATTATTAAAAGGTTTTTTATACTTCGAAAATAAGATACTTTTGTGTCTGATTATCAGACATTTATTTGTAATAGTATCATCCATTTTAAGTGGTGTGTATGCTCATGAAAGTCCCTCTAAATTTTGTAAATCTCAAAATATTTATAGTTATTTACAAACTGCCATTCCTTCTTTGTTCTACCACAAAATGTCAAAATGAGAAAGAAGTATCTGAAAGTGCTTTAGCAAAGCATTAACTTGTCTCATTGTCCATTTTATAAAATCCAGACCTTTTCACCTCCCTTATTTTATAATTTCAAAAAATTGTCAGTGAACTTGTATATAAAATTGAAATTTTGAAATTGTGGATGTGTGCATGTTTGCTCATATTTCGAGAATGGGTAAACTGATTTGCACCAAACTTGGTATGATTACTCCATAAGAACACAGAGAGAATTTATAAAGGTAAAAACTGTGGAAAACTGTCCATAGTTTGAGATGATTTGTAATGCTGACAGCCTAGATGTGAAAATCAGAAACCTTAAGAAGACCTTTAGACAAAACAGATACAGAAATGAAGATGTCAAGCAGGTCCTCCACCAGAAGAGAAAGCCGCAAACACAACAGGAAGAGCCAACTAGTGTAGCCATGTTTCCTTACCAGTGAACAATGTCAAATGAGATCAGCAGACTGCTTAATAAATACATCAAGATCATCTACATTCCAGCCAAGAAAAATATCTGTCTAATCAGACAAGCTATGTCTGAATGTCACCAGTATCTACCACATCCCTTGTTAATGTGGTAAAGTTTATGTGGGATAGACTGCCAGAACCATGAAGGCTAGATGCAAGGACCATATGAGGCACATCTGCTATGAGTCAGGGTAGGGTGGAAGGATGGCTTTTGTAAACATGGTGTTGAGCTTTAAGGTTCCATAAGATATGAAATTTATTAGCCATCTGAGTAATTATGAACTTTTTAAGTTAGGCTCTATGTCATAGATTTAGTTTGAAGCTTATTGATGATTTCTTCTTTAATAAGAGTAGAACTGTTGCGACAATCAAATTGTACAAGTTCATAAGGGAAGAACTGTATGATGAATATATTTCTGTCTACAGCTGGAGTGGCCACAAAGAAAGTAACACAGATTCAGCGATCAGTGTTACCTGCAAGTTCCCACCCTGAAGTGGTAAGTTTATTATGCATTGTTTAAGTATAGTTCACGACTGTAATCTTGAGACAAGTGGGGTGAAGGAGGAAGGAGGAAAGATAGCGTCAGCCTTTAATGCTTTGGACTTCCTGCATTCCTTCCTATTTTTCCTACCATGCATAATCATTCTCTCATCTTTCTTATTACTTATTATCTCTTCAGTTATCCTGTGTATGTCATAACCTGCTTTAGTGGAGTTCTACTAGTGATTCAATTTCAGGTATTCAAAATACATTGGATTTAAAAATAATCATAAATCTGTTATTTTTAATTCCTTCCATCCCTGATCCTTAGAGAATAATTGCTGTTGCGTTTCTCACTTGAAAGATGGATAATTCAGATGTCTGGGTGAACCCACTTTACTGTTATTTATCCATGTTATTTAAAATTAAAAAATTTCTATGATTATTCATTAAGTTGATATATGCGATCAGTACATATACTGAATTATATCCTGAACCTTTATCTCAAAGGCTATGCAAGTATAATTCATATAGTTTAGAGACTGTGTGTGAGATGGAAGCACAAACCAGGAGTTGTCATTTGCATGTAGTGCTTGTTACTCCACAACAGTGGTTGATAGTGGCGTAACATGCATTGCACAGCATTTGAAGCTGTCTGCTTAACGGAATTGTTAAATCCTAATAACCAAACATTGTCTGTAAACATTACATGTATCGGAATTTGCATGTAGATAAGTACTCTTTCTCTTCACATTTTCGAATGATTACCACATTATGTGATATTCTTTGTAATTTATACATCTTCTGTTTGCCGTAATTGGACTGTATTTCCCGCAGAGGCAAGAAGATGTTGTAGCTTTGGAACAGGTGGAGGTGGCACACAAACCACTGCCACCTGTTGGTGCACTTTTGAGACCTAAACTTCATGTCGGTGATGTGATATATGTGATGAAGCTGAGTTTCTATGGAGTGTGGGCACGAGCCAAGATACTGGAGATCATAGCAAAAGGGTCAGAGGTATGTGCTAGCAACCACTGTAGTATAATAATAGTTTGACTCACCTCAGGGTCTTATTTAGCACTTAATGGTTATTAAGCTGGTCATAAAATCCCCCATTACAAAACCTGAAAGTTCATTATTGTTTTTACAAAGGCCTGTCATAGGACACCATACTAAGCCACTTCAGTTCATAGCTTTCAAATCTATTTTCTAAAAATGTGTTTAATGTTATTCTGTCTGTACCTAGTTCTTCCAAATAGTTTTCCCTTTTGGTTTTCAACCAAAATTTTGTATACATTTCTTGTTTATTCTTATGGGCTGTAAGTTTACTGACCTTATTCTTCATGATTCTCTGTATTGCGTAAAGAGTACAAAAGACATAACATTTGACTCTCAGTCCCTTAGTTTCTGGATTTGTTGTGTCTGAAAAGGGTTAAAAGAGGCAATATGTTTATCAGTGAACAGACTGTGTAAATGGTCTCAAAATACAGAAACAGGCCAGATAGTGTCCCAGCTGGATTTGGCTGTTAGCTCACAGGTAGGTTCATTATATGTACACTAATGTGTTCTCTGAAGCTTATTCATTATGGTACCTAAATTTGACAAACAAACAGTGGATGCACATTTGACACAACAACACTTATTCTAAATGTATATACACAAGAAGGTTTATGTACAGTAAGGAGTTTAAAATTGATAATGTTTTTATAATGATACTGCTGCTGTACTGTTCCAAATTTCACATATGAATAATGTTAGTGTGATGCTCTAAATTAGGCATATGAAAAAGTCATGATAAAATTCGTGCTCCAAATTAAGCATCTGAATTATGTAATGCTGAAATTGATGTTATAAATTAGGCATCTGAATTATGTAATGCTGAAATTGATGTTCTAAATTAGGCATCGGAACAATGTTTGTGTGGTATTAATTGTTCCAGGTAATTTCTGGAAGTTCATCTTTATTCAACTCATACAAAGTGAAGTTTGAATCATCATACCGGAAGTCCAACCCTGTGAAACAGGTTTCAGGCAAGCAAATGGCTTACGTTTCGCCAAGTCCTGTTCGATTCCCAGTTGGAACACGTGTCATTGCTGTGTTTCAAGATAATGATTGGAGCAAGGAGTGCTACTACTCGGGTGTGATTGCTGAGCCTCCCAAATCTATGAACAAATATAGGTCAGTACCATTCTCTGAAAACTTGACACAGAACAAAGTGATTTTGCCACCAAGATGTTGGTTCACAGGGGTCCTCTGCCTGAAGTATGTTGTATTTACACACATGTTGTTCATGTACGTTTTACCAAATTATTCTCTAAATTAAGGTTACAATTGAGGAAAAGCATGGAAAACCTCATTCAGGGTAGCCAAATGATTGTTATGAAGTTACCAAGGTTACTTTGTTTTTAAATGGAACCCTTTTGACTTCCCTGGTGCTTATTGATGGAACAGAGGAGCTGGCTGCTGTCAAGCTGGCTTGATGAAAGAAGGTGACACGATGGGACGAGGTGATGAGGTTCTGGTGACCATGTAGGAAAGGATTTGCAGTGATTAAGTAGAAGGTAGTGGTAGCCATTCATCAGCCATGTGGTTTGGAGAGGTGAAGGTGGACATACCGTTTTGAGGGCCAGTGGGGTTAGTCACTTTGGGATAAACTGGTGCAGCCTGTAGTCTTCTTAATGGTTGAAGTTGTTTGGATGACCTCCTCCCAATTTTTCTGTCACCTCCTTTCCTCAGCCACGTGCTCCCCTCCTATTGGATAACAGCCAACTCCTCTGTTCCATTAATCAGCACCAGGGAATTTGGAAATTCATGAGGATTTAGGGAATTCCATTCTTTGCCAACCACATCATATCAGTTTTTACTCAAAGTTAGTTGATGTGGAGAACCCCTTAGTTCACTAATATGGAAGGCACTTGTTCTGACCAAGGGCTGACTGGGTTCACCCACGGACTACTGGGGGGGGGGGGATGTTGAGCAGGCCAGTCGATGCTGTTCCTGAAAAGCCAGCAAACATGGAGCAGCAAGTGAAATAACTGCTTGGCTACCCTCACTGAAGTTTTCTGTTCTTTTCTTCATGTGTAAGGCATATTCCAGGGTATAATTTAAAAGGTGCATGGCCCTCCCTCCTGAGTCATGGAAGCCTTTAGTAGAAGTGATCTCCCCCCCCAACATCACTTTTGGGTTCAAATTCCAGAGAGCCATCCAACCAAAATCCTTCTCACAAAAGTCAAGGTGCCTCCCACCAGTAATAATAGTTCCCTAGTTTGAATAGACACAAGGCCTTATACCACGAGAAAATTCCTTTTAGTGTAAGCATATACCCATTTTAGTTTCAAGGCACTGTTTAGCATTACCAGCAATGCATTTTGCATGAAGTGTTGTGTACAAGGGACAGTTTCTTGCATGTGCCCAGGATTCTGCCCTTAGTTAGCTTTTTGGTTTGTTGGCTGGCTCCACCAATCTGCTTTGAAAATTACAACTGCATTGTTTGCTGAAATGTTGGTTAACATCAGATGACTATCTGATGTTAACCAGAATATCCAGTAGAAAGTTATATTAATAGTCATGTATGGTGCAGGTATCTGGTCTTTTTTGATGATGGCTATGCTCAATATGTGACACATGAGAAGATCCTATTGGTTTGTGAGAGCTCACGCAACGTGTGGGATGATATCCACCCTGACTCAAGGGAGTTCATTCGCAAGTATCTGGAGCAGTACCCTGAGCGACCCATGGTGAAGCTGCAGCAGGGGCAGATTGTCAAGACAGAATGGAATGGTAACAAATCATTTTAATACTAAGAGGCTTCTGATACACAGTTTGTTAGTTATGGGACAAATATAGATTGTGGGAAATGAGTGACGTTTTTGAGGGTGATACTTTACTCTTTGTCAATCTCACCTTAACAACATTTTCATATCCTGTTGTAAGGATCTTTAAAGTAGAAGACAGCCATCTTCAGATTTGCCGCCATGAAAACCTCAAATCCTACATCTTTAAAGTATGTCAGATTTGAGATACATGTCCAAAATAAGTTCACTGTCATTTTTAATAATTGAAAAATTATCATAATCTTGGGTGTGATTTTTGGCTGATGTTGGAGAGAATGTTATTTTTGGGACTTTTGAAAAAAAGTTACTCATTTCTGTACTTTATGTAAAATTACAGTAGTGTCATTAATTTGTGAGCAGATTAACAGTGAGAGCCAAAATATCAGAAACATTATTTACATAGCGTCTGTCTTGTGTCTTTAGGCGTGCAAATGTTTCAGTTATATGTACTGTGGAATCTACTTCTGAGAAAATTTCTGATTTTGAAATTTTATACAGTTGGCACTCAGTTATCTGTGAGCAAATTAACCTCAAGTAAAGTAAGTATAAAATTATTATTTCAGTAGTTTCCGTCTCATTTCTATATAGAGTGTGGCAGAAAAAGTGAAACATTACACATTTCTTCATTAGAACAGTATTCTACAACCAGTGTGCCATTCATTTTTATAAAAAATTGTATATTTGCACATTATAGTTAGAAAAAGGCTATATCTTATCTTTTGTAATACACACACACACACACACACACACACACACACAGGGTGAGTCAGAAGTATGTTTAAAAACTTCATGTAGGTGTTCCAGGATCAAAAATAAGAAAAAATGATCCTATGAACATAGGGTCGCAAATGTTTCATTTTTGAAAGAATAGCCAAAAATAATTTTGAATGTGTGCCTTTATTGCCAAGTATAAGGACAGGGATGTTTCTTTATAACAGATGCTCAAAGGTTGCTTCTCCATTCTCCAGACATGCCCGAGCACGATGTACACAAGACTGACGGATTCGTTCCTACACACCAGAGTTTCCTCAAATCATCTGGTATGCATTCTGCACACGTTCCCATTGGTCGTCATCATTGTTTATGGGTGTTGCATAAACGACGGACTTAAAGTGACCCCACAGATAAAAGTCCAATAGAGTCAGGTCCGGTGACCTCGGTGGCCATGCTACTGGGCCACCACACCCAATCCATTGCTGAGGTTACTGTTCATTGAGATGATCTATGGCACGACTGGAGAAGTGTGCTGGGGCTCTGTCGTGCATAAACCACATTTGTCTTCTTGTATTCAGTGGTTCATCTTCAAGGAGATGTGGCAAGTGTCTTCTTAAGAATCGCCAGTATGAAGGTCCTCTTAGACGTGATGGAAGCATGTGTTGACCAGTAAGCATGTCGCCAACAATTCCTGCACAAACGTTTACTGAAAATCTTTGCTGGAAGCTGGATTCACTCTGATATAAAGTCATTTCACTCAAACTTATTTTTGTCTATTATTTTGAAAATGAATCATTTGCGACTCCATGTTCATAGGAACATTTTTTCTTATTTTTGATCCTGGAACATGCACATGAAGTTTGTAAACATACTTCTGACTCATCCTGTATATCTATACATACACACACAAACACACACACACGTGTTCACCATTGCTATAACAGTTTTCAGCAGAATTGGCGGCTGAAGTGTGCACCAATCACATGTACTGTTCCTTGGTTGGAGGTAAAGGTGGGAGGTGGAGGAGCGAGAAAATGAGGAAACAACATACACAGTGGTGCCAGATGTAGCATCGTGGAACATTGGTTTCCAGTGAATGGGTACAACACTACGCAAAGAAGACGTGAGAACTGGCAACAACACAACACAGCGCAGCTGCCGATGCTTCTGTCACGCAGTTCCTGATCAGACTGAGGTCTAGCTTCTTACCAACAGACCTACTTTGCACTGATTGGTCACTCACAAAGAGCAGAACTCAACTCAGCTGCCAGTTCTGCTGAAAAACGTTATAGTTTTATTTAACATGAGTTATGTTTTGCTTTCATATGCCTGCCTTCTTATATGTCAAGGATTGATATGTTTGTACATATTTATGGCCATGTATAGTTCATACCTCCTTGTGAGGTAAAATTTTGTGGTGTGGCCATCATGTGTCTTTGGCAAAAATGGTGTGCCATGCGGCAATGGAGAAAAAGGGATCCTGTGTGCTGTAGAGATCTTAATTTGAATGGGATCTTTTACAGGATTGCAATAAATATTTTGACAACAGTTTAACCAGTAGGAGGTTTCTATTTCAAAAATAATACATTAGTGGATCAGATAATGGCATGAAGAACGTTGTCACTTATAAAAATCTACCTGGACAACCTTGTTTGGTTTCTACACTTCAGAATATTGCCAGAGTGTTGGTATCTCTTGACCATGGTCAGAACATAAGCATGCTTTTTACATTTTTGACAGGTGTGTATGCCACAGTGATCATGATTTGATAAAGATTGACTGACTGACTGACTCTATTGCGCAACAGCCTGAAGCCGAGCCTTGGCCTCCTCCCATGTGGGAAGTTTTATTCGAAGTGTGTATTTATGAGTAACGAGTTACAAGCCCACTGCCTCTGCACAATTTCTACCCAATCCTGATTTGTCTGATAGAGCCACCTAGTAGTGAATCAGGAGAGAGGTGGGTGAGAAGTGGTCACTGAATTTTGCTTACGAATCATCTCGTTCATGCTCGTAAGGTTCTTTTACATGCCGTAAATCTATGATATGGGACTGTCGGCTTTACCTCCCCTCTGAAGGAAGTTGTGCTACGGACTTTTATCAAACTTTAAAAATCCATCAACCTTGACCAGGTTTGAACCCTCGAACATTGGGTCCAGTGGTAAACATGCTAACCACTAGTCTACCGGGGGCAACAAGTAAGTCATGGGAAAACATGTTTGTAGGCAACAATGAAATGAAATGCTTGGGTACTGACAAGGAAGCCATTTCAATGGGTGAGTGAGATGCCATCTTGAAGCATATGAGTGGTTGTGAGAATGTTGATATTAATGCCAGTAAACAGTACTATAATCCCTAGTTATGAACTACTGACTGACAAGACCAAACATGAGAAAGTTTAAGATGAGAATGAAAAAAATATTAGTCATTTCAGTAAGTCAGTTAATGACTTGCTCTCAGGTGGACTGAATTTACTCAGTTATTCAGAACATGAGAATGTACTTTTCTCTAGCTAGTGTTATGTACATAGTCCTATGAGAATGCGTGGTATATAGAACTCCATAGCAACATGATCTTTTTTCAGTTTATTAGCTGTTTTTTAGTTTTCTGTGCATGTTCTTGCATTCATTGGCTTGGAGAATTGAGAGTATACTGAACATAATTTTGTGACTGGTTGTTTTTGGTGAACATTTGTGTTTCTCAACAGATTTCCATTCAGCAACGTCAGTAACTATACTTGTTTCTTGGCGGTTTGTGATGTTTTCATAGTTGTTTTTCCCCTTCAACATGTGTAATACCACAAATCCTTCAAAGATAATATACTATACAGTTTATTCCGGTTGATTGGGACACATTCATTCAAGACAAACTTATGACATTTTTTATTATTAGTGGACTGGTATAAAATGTTCTTAAGTTTCTCAAGAATTGTATGATTTGTTTGTTTTGAATTTGTCCAAATGCCTTTTTTGTGTGCAGGGAAATGGTGGATTGCACGTGTAGTGGAGGTGGATGGTTCACTGGTGAAGATGCACTTTGATGCAGATGGACGCACTGAGTGGATCTACCGTGGTTCCACTCGACTTGGTCCTCTGTACGCAGAACTTGCCCATGCTGCTGCTAGGAAGGAACAGGGGACATTTAGCAGGCACAGAGGTCTTGGTGTTGCCTCCCTGAAGAAGGTAATGGGTAACAGGCTGTACATACTCTTCTGTTCTCATTTTATAGGTTAAACATCTCGCTTAATATTTGGAAAGTTCTTCTATGGTTTATGTGCTGTGTATCAAATCTCTATATAAAATAATTATTTAAGTTTTTGTTGCATATGTTGCTTTAATAAATATGTAATCAGGGCTGACTATGGGTGCAGGTTCAGGCTAGACACCGTATAATTTGTTCCAAAGAGGTTTCTATAACGAAGCTATTTGTGATACCTGAAGGTGTCGTTCGTTTGCAATTTCTGTATTGTAATAATTTTATAATATGTGCTGGTCATTCTCTGAGGTTTTTCTACCAATCTAGAGGACCTAGGTAGTTATATATATTTCAACTCCTGGACGTAACACAATACAAATTCTTTATGCTGAACGCAATAGAGCATCCAACATGTAACACCTTTAACAGAGGAGTTCCACTTGCATTTCTGAATAGGAATTGGTCCATAGAAGTTGAAAAGCAATATAATAAAGGGCAAAATCATGCTGATTCTGTTCATCAGTAGCAGTAGCAGTAGCAGCAGCTGGTACTCATAATGGTGGGTGCAGTGAATATTTTGATGACCTGTGATGTTTTATACTGCAAGTGTACTTTTTTTGTTCTCAGGCCATTAGGATTTTAGAAGTTTAGAAAAGGAAATTGAAGGTAAAAAAATAGTACTGCATTAATAAAAAATTGTGAATGATCTTTATACCTTAAATGCTGGTGTCCATTTCTTCAGAAGTCTCAACACTTGTCTGTTAAGGCTATATGAAGCAGTATTTAAAGCATACGGAGATAAGCTAGTGATGGCAAATGACAGAGTTGCCAGACGCTTGCTGTGCTTTACCCCTTGCTAGATGCTGCGCTTTACCCCCGGGAAAGGACCCCAGTACCCATTGCATAGGAGGCTGGGTGGACCTCACAGCCAGTCTGGACGCAGAGGCTAGAGCTTGTATAATAATATATAAACAAGAATGTTTGTCTAAGATCTTGGAATGAAAAATACAGTATTTAATATCCCTCTGATGTTCTTCCAAATGTCATCTCTAAGTGTAGGAGTGCATAAATTATGTGAGTAAATGATAGGGAAAAATTTAGTTGAGACTTTCAAATTCATTGAATACTAGTTTCAATTCTGTATTACATTTTGTTTGTTTGTTTCAGAGAAACATGCCATATGTGGAATATACACGAGGAACAGATGGAGAAGAAATGAAGCGTGAGGACTCAGGAGGTAGGTCACTGGTGTTGACAGTATTGCTTGCTCAAATTTGTGTTGCAAATGTGGATACTTTAACTCTTTTGCTGTGTATCTATGTGTTATGATATGTTTTTCTGTTTCATGAAGTAACTGTCCTGCTTTTGGGACCGGTTCAAGGTAAGATAACACATAATATATTATTGTTACATATTCCTTCATTTTGCACCCTGACATTCATCAGAGGTTGTAACACGTTCTGTCTATTTCCTCCCTTAGTGTCAGAGACCAAGATTCACCAATGCCCTCTACTGGACCCTGTCCTGGGCAAACAAAATCCAGTCTCCTTCAACTCCTATCTCCCATAGATCCCGCCTGACATTATTCTCCCATCTACGTCTAGGTCTCCCCAGTGGTCTCTTCCCCTCAGGCTTCCTGATCAATACCTGCACACCTCTTTCTCCATTCATGTGTGCCACGTGCCCCGCCCATCTCATTCTTCTTGCAATCACCCTGACAACATTGGGGGAGGAGTACAAATTTTTAAGCTTATCATTATGCTGTTTCCGTCTAGGTCAAAATGTCCTCCTCAACACCCTATTCTCAAACACCTGCAATCTATGTTTCTCCCTCAGAGTCTGAGACCATGTTTTGCACCGATACAAAACAACAGGCAGAATTATCGTTTTGTATATTTTAATCTTCAGGTTCTTAGAAATCAAATGGGAACACAAAATGTTTTTAACCAAGACGTAGCAAGCGTTTCTTGAATTTTGTTTCCTTCTGACTTCCTCATGAATATCATTTCGATTTGTTATTGTTGTTCCCAAATATTTGAACTTTATAACACTTTCAAAGTATTTTTTAGTTGCCCTAATATGATTTTGCCTGCATGTCTGCTGATGAGATAAATGGAACAGCATGGTAATAAACCTCGTTCTTTCTCTGTCTCTTTTGTATATTTCCTGATGAGTTTATGGTGTCTTAAAAAAATATTGGCTGACAAAGAACCTGCTGTTATAGCTACATTATTTATTGAAAACATTTAAATATTTCTGCTGCTGGCTGCGGTAAAGCTACAGAAATTTTGGTTAACTGCAAAAATTATTGTAACTCTTTGATTTTTGAAATATTAGATGGCCATGGTCAAAGTTCAGAGACTGTGCCATCACGTGCTGTGGCCAAGAAGAGCACTACAAGGCGCCCAGACAGCAACGTGGACAGGATGCAGGATCAGCAGCAGGTGTACCCAGGAGTTGTGGAGAAGAGTCCGCAGCAACCACAAGGCCGTGTTGAGGTAAGCGTTACACCAGTTTTTGTTTCTTAGGCTGCTCTCTGTCTGTTTTAAGGTATAAAGATATTATACCTGCTTCGGTGCAGTCTGTTAGATGATGCTAGTTCTGATCTTCCATCAATAGTTACAGTCTTGCTGCTATCTTCCATTTAGATTTGCAGCCTCTTCTTGTACATGAAGTTCAGATGTGATCTGGTTCATCGCTTAGTAATATGGAATAGTAATGTAAGGTGTAGCATTTCAAAACCTTCTATAGCTATAGTTTCATGGCAGTTTGATGTGCAGGATACATTTCTCCCTGAATTTACATTTTTTAATATTGATTATATATGAGCAATGTAGATTGCTGTCTTCTGGGTTGTTGTGCTGTGTAGTCTGGTAGAAGTTTACTGACGTTTCAGAGATCCTTGCTGCCTCCATCATCAGGGCCCTGACGGGGCAGCGCAAAAATCCAGAAGACGTCAATCTTTAGACTCGCCACTGTGAAAACCTCGAATCCTATGAGCACTGTATTTCACACACTGCAGCAGCATGTTTTCATTAAAATCTGAATCCTTCACTCTGCTGTGAAATGAATATTATTCTGTGTTCGTAACTTTTACTTTGAAGAGTAGTTGGGAAGAGAAATTATACATTTAAATGTGTACCCAAGAGGCTAGAAGAGGTATGGTGTAGTGGAAAAGAGGCATCTGGAGATTGAAGGGTGTTAGGGGAAATACAGAACAGGGAAAGTTTCCTGTGTGTAATAAATTAGAATGCTGCAGCCACATACTGAGATCTGAGTAAACTAGAAATTGGTGAGAGGAGCTTGTAGACAAAAGATTCACAAGTATTGAGACAGAAGTTGGGATAGTTTCAAACAAAAATAATGACAAACCGCAAAACATTGGTCACAATTTAAATGGGTATAAAGAGAAACTGATAAGATCAGTGATGAAATATGAGGAGGAATAGATTATAAACTGGGAAGGAGGGGTAGGAAAGATGGAAAATAGTATAGTTTAGAATTAAAGTAGAGAATGTAAATATATTTAGAAATGGACATAAGACCAGGGAATCATATCCAACTTTGTAAACTGTAACCAACAGACTTAATAAAGGTTAATGTAACTTTTATTTTGTGTAATTAACACACACTGGATTTTGTTTCAGTATCTGCAGTTGAAGAGTACTCGTTGCCAGCCCAAGAAGTTTGAACCCCACCAGTGTGGTCCCAACTGCCTTAATGGAACATGGTATGACCCTTGGGCTATGAAGGGTGAAAATCCATTGGTTATTCCAATGTTGTGTGCATGGGAGAGGTATGTATTGCAGAGTTCTAGAATAACCTTTATGCAGGATTACGCTGGTGATGACGAGTTGAGAGAAGGATGAGCTTAAAAAATGAAAATTGTCCAACTTTGGCCATAAACTTCTCTCTGTTATGCAACAGTATAATAAATATAACTGCTATTCTGCAGGCAATTGAACCGGTGCCGTGGGAAGCGCATGGTGATGTACAAAGCCCCGTGTGGTCGACGCCTCCGCAACATGGAGGAGCTACACCGATACCTTCGTTTAACCAAGTCAAACATGGCAGTTGATCTTTTTGACTTTGATTTCTGGGTTCATAGCTTTGCTGAGTTTGTGCTGGAAAGGGGCTTCTCAAATATCAAGGTAATGTATGACATGCCTCTCCAGTTGAATGTCCTAATTGTTTTGCTAGTGTCAATATGGTACATTGTAACTGCTTTATTCTGAAACCATTGACATGTATAAATCAAATTATGCTAGAAAAAGAATTTGTTCTGAAACTTTACATTATTAAATGTTTTAAGTATTTTAAGAGGGTCTAGCTGTTGATTAGTAATTCATGTAAATCAGCCTTCATGATAATGATGACAAGAACAATACTTATAACCTTTTGAATATTATTTCATGGTTTATTGTAGAAAAACATATGTATTTTGGATTTACTGTTGAATTCTGGTGAGCTTTGCCAGTAATTTAGGGAAACAGGAAATACATACAAAATTTTGGCAGGAAAATACCAGTAGAATAAACCAGCTGGGAAACTTGTGTACATTGTGTAGGATTATTAAACTACATCTGAGAGAAGTAGGTCAGAGGATGTGATCTGGATTGGATACAGAGGGGGCTTTTGTTGTCATGGTGAAGAACATTTAGGTTCCATAAGAGCAGTGAATTTAATTACCACTCTTTACATGCTGATTTAAATTTGAAGGACCTTCTGTTATATTGTAAAAGAAATCACTAGTTGACTTTGCTAGGTTGTTTGAAATATGGGTTTATTACTGTCACAATAAATAGCATGCAAGCCTGTGTGGCATAATTAACAGCTCCCTAAGCTAGTATTCATGACAGTATGTCCATAGAAGGTGGTTTGTACTTAACTTTCAACTGATGGCAGGCAAGACTTCCTTCACATGTATTCTCAAACACTAAATAATTTCAGACAAGGAATGATGGAAGGATTAAAGAAAATCTGTGCCATGGAATTAGTTAGCCCAACATTATATTTTTTGGAAATTTCTTTTAGCCAGAGTGGAGTGTTTTCATGTATACATGTTGACAGTGATGCTAAGTGTTTTATTTGAATTTTAAACTCAAAACCAAATTCACATTTTCATTCTTTGCTTGCCAGGACTTATCTTATGGATCAGAGCATGTTGCTGTGCCCTGTGTAAACTGTGTGGACCACAGCATGCCAGACTATGTGACCTACTCAACAAAGCGAGAGCCAACTGATGGAGTAGACCTGAATCTTGATCCTGAGTTCCTTATTGGATGTGAATGCACTGATGACTGTCAGGTTAGTTCCCATTTCATATGGGAAGATAATCTGTATCACATTTGGTTAGGAATTGTTGCATTATGGGTTTTGACGTAAAGAATCAATTATATTCTCATGTCCTGTTTTCATTCCACAAAAACTGGGTAACAGAAGTAACACATGTAGAGCCCCATACAGGTGGAAGGCATTGATATGACAGGGCGCTGTCTGGTGCTCTGAAGGGATTGTTAGTGACCCTGCTATCACCACCTCATTACCATGAGACCTTACACCTTGGCTTCAATGGACCAGAGCCCTTTTCACCATCTGACACATTGCCCCCCTCCAAATAATATTTAAAAATTCAGTCTGTACCTCAAAGAGAGAACAGCATTTCACCATTACAAATATCAGTTGATTTCTGCTGTTTAAGGAAATAATTCCTTTTTACAATGTGAGTAATACGTAGGGCAGTCAAAAAGTTCCCGGAATTGTGGTATAGCACTGTAATGGTAGGACATATGGCAACGCTTACCTAATCACCTTCAAAGTAGGACCCTTGCGCACACACACTTGCTCCATCCATCCTGCCATTGTTAGAAGCACCGGCGGAAGGCTTCATTTGGAATCTTCCGGAGTTCGGCTGTCACATTCGACACCTCGCTGGTTGTTAAAAATGTTTCTCCAGTTTTCTTTAAAAAAAGGTTTTTCATACAAACAACACGCCCACCAGAAAACCACCAGGGGGGCGTGGCCCACACTCTGGGAACCTGTGATCTAAGCAGTAAACTCCTTTTCCCTGTTACATTGTGCAGGATCGAGACAAGTGTGCCTGTTGGCAGTTAACGATCCAGGGAACTGCGTATGGTCCAGGTGGAGTGGTTGATCCTACGGTTGGCTACTTCTACAGACGGCTGCCAGAGCCAGTCATGACAGGAATCTATGAGTGCAACTCGCGGTATGTTTGTTGACATTACTTTAAATCATCTGCTTAGTTCTGCAGAACTGTGATATGACAAAGGTTACACTGCTATAATTATGCACCTGAACCTCACATTCTGTTATGAATGTATCATTCAGATTTCCTGGAAGATCACATTTAATACATGAAAGAATTTTACAATAGAATACAATACAGTGCAATACAATTACAACAGAATTTTCATTCTTTAATAAATGGAGCAAATGCGAAAGAAATGTCTTATTTTCAAACTTCTACATTCAGTTGGAAAATCATATACAAAGGAGTTGCTAACCACTCAACAACAATATTCGGTGTCTAGTATCTGCTGTTCTGTGAATTTACCTCCAGTGTAAGTGAAACAAAGCATCATTTGAAAAGAACATTCAGTGAAGGTCAGTTTTATAAAGATTAACACTGTTAACAGGATCACGTGTTCAAGACTGCCACCACTTTCATTAAATTTCTCTTTTCTGAGCATTAAATGGTTTGATTTGGTCATTTTTCTAGTAATGTCCCCATTATGTCTCATTTTATTTGCAATACTATGTATAGTTTCTCAATTTGGAATTTTAATGTTTAGATATTTGTGCTGGAATCTTGTCCTTACTTTTCTTGTAGAACCACTTTTCACATAGGTATCGTATATGAACAGTCATTCCAATTGTATTTCGTCCACATGGCATTGCAACATGTAAAATAACATGATAGAGTGAACGCTCATCATGCAGATCAGGTATGGTATCGGGAGTTAAAGTAACATGAACCTCAAGAGATATGAATGGTGTGACCCACAACACCTGATCTGCCTTAAAGTCTTTCTGTACTTATAAAGTACAAGTGCTAGTGTTCCTATATGTACCTGAAATGTATGACTTGAATTTTTAATTTGTTAATATGAGTGCATATGTAACGGCTGTGCTTGATCAAATGATTTAAACCATATCTACTCTGTTTGTCTATGAGCCGGGATAGCTCAGTCAGTATAGTGACTAGCTACGGGCTGGACGACCGGGGTTCGATCCCCGACGGGGGCAGAGGATTTTTCCTCTAGCCTCTGCGTCCAGACCGGCTCTGGGGCCCACCCAGCCTCCTCTACAATGGGTACCGGGGTCCTTTCCCGGGGGTAAAGCCGGCCGGGGCGTGATGCTGACCACTCACCCCCACCTAGTGCCGGGGTCAAGGAAGAGAGGAGCTATACCTCCACTCACCCCAAACGCCTACATGGCGTATAGTGGGACAAACTTTACTTACTTACTCTGTTTGTCTAGGTGTAAGTGTTCTCGAACATGCCTGAATCGAGTGGCTCAGCAGCCTCTACAGCTCAAACTGCAAGTGTTCAAGACTGAGAATCGAGGCTGGGGTATTCGCTGCCTTAATGATATTCCCCAAGGAGGCTTCATCTGTATCTATGCGGGGCGGTTGCTTACTGAACAAGGAGCAAATGAGGTAACCCATTGTTTAAGTACTTTATAGTTGTTGCTTCTGCGGTATTATTGGGGTACATATGGCTTGATTTCCAGGTGAGACTGGCTATCATGGTTTTCCTTCCCTAATGAGGAAAATCAATATTTCTAAATGAAGCAGCCTGTTTCCATACTCATACTTTGAAAACTTAAAATTTTGTAGTATGTTATGGTTCACTGAAGACATACCTCGGTCAACATGTTACTACTGGCTAATTATAAAATGATGTATGAGGTGAAGCTTTTGTGGCAACTGAAGTTGATTGAAATACTCTCGGGCTACAAGCAGCATTAGGTGGCTGAACGGTGAACAAACCATATCTTCTGCCAACGTTTCGAGAACAATCTCCATTCTCATCTTCAGGGCTGCCGGGCAACCAGTCCGTTCCTTTGTTGCGCGCTAGCTGATGGGAACTCAGTCTCGAAACATTGGCAGAAGACATGGTTTGTTCACTGTTCAGCCACCTGACGTGGCTTGTAGCCCGAGAATCTTTCATATTATAAAATGTTTTAATGCAATTTTTTTTCTGCCATGTTTGTATAGTTTGCACTTCAAGTAAAAGTCTGAAGATGGACTCATACATATGAAACATGTGGCCCAGTGTACAGTAATATATAGTGAAAAAGTGTGTGAGAACATTATTTTGTTATATATATGAATCCCTGACAAAATAGTAAGCATAGTCTAACGTATTGTTAAAAATAACTAACTTCATAGATCAGAGTCCTTCTTGAAAAGCTAATATTATTCTCAGCCGGTGAAGAAATTGCCCACCTTTTAGGGAATGTACATGTTAATTGCTGTTTCATAAAAGCCCTCCATGGTATCGTTAAATCTCTGGGCAAAAAATGGAAAATATTTTGTTTTGGTTTGTAAGGTTATGCAGCAACACTTCATTTGTGATAAGTAAGGATACTTGGTGTCAGAAACATTCAATCCTTTTTATGCTCTTAATGCTCGGTGCAGACGGCTGTGCTGTGCCCCTGCCAGATGTATTTTTTCATTTGCCCAAGAGTGAAATTTTTTGTAATCCCACTAAAGTATGAGATCTATGGTGTCTAATCACATTTATTTTACCATGTGAAGTAAAATTACACTGTGAAGCAAGTGAAAGTCTCTACAAATAGTGTCATCTTACATGTACATGTTCTAAAGTGTCATTTCCTGTCAAAATACTGTGTTCAGTTGGAAGTAATTTAAGAGCGACTGTTACACAGGAAGGCAAGAACTATGGAGATGAGTATCTGGCAGAACTGGATTATATCGAAGTGGTGGAGAAGTTAAAAGAGGGCTATGAGAGTGATGTCGTTCAAGATGACAGTGATTCACCGTCTGAGGAGAAACGTGGCAATGAGGCCAGGTCTAAAGGTAAATTAGAATTCCAGCTCTTGCTGGTATATTGTGCTTTCCTTCTCTTTCTTCATGCCAAATAGCATATTCAATCCCCTTGACAATGAATTAAAACCACACCTCTACTTAACTGATTTCTTGCATTGCAATTCTCACTAGGACTTTCCATCATTTGCACAAAACGACTGAATCTGTTTTTGGGATGATTAATTTTTAAAGGGTTCTAGGGATGGGGGAGGTTGTAATGGTTTGAATTTTCAGTATATTTATCATATATATATGCTACATCAATGCTGGTCCTATGGATGGTGATGAAATGTGAGTAAGAAGTCATTTTATAACCGTGATTTGTGACAGTGGTCCCCAGTGCGGTGCCTGCGGTCGCCAAGGCGTTTTTTTGAGTGCCCGTGTTGTTACGGAAAGAGGTTATACTGAATAATGAAGGCTGTTCAACCATGAACATTATAAAATCAAAGCGCAAATCTTGACTTACTGACGGCCATCTTGACGATTGTTTGCGAGCAGCAACATCATCCAACACTCCCAATTTTGAAAAACTGGCCGATGAAATGCAGCGCCAAACATCACACTAACTTCCCATTTGAGTAATAATAATTGTACTTATAAAACTACGTATTTTTGATTGCATGTTTTCTTGTATCATTAAACGTCGTGTTGTTTTGAATATTATTTGGTGTCCATATCTTATTTGTCCACAGAAAAGAAAATTTGGCTTTGTTAATTGGTTGGTGCCCGCCACGATCTCATAAACTCTCAAATGTGCCCGTAGGCACAAAAAGGTTGGGGACCACTGATTTGTGATATAATGCAAAAGAATATTCATACAATTTTGACATGCCTAGTACCAATACTCTTATCTCCTGTAGAAGTACAGTATTGTTATGAACATACATTATGGAAACTGCAAATTATATCAGCCAGCTGTGATTACATTACCCAAGAGTTTCTAGTTGCTTCTAGAGCCAGCGAGAAGTGTGTTACAGACCTGTAGATGTGTAACACCAGTGGTGTTTGAAATCCTATCAAAATAAATAGAAGATCTGAGAAGAATTTGGAATCTATATGATTCTCAAACAGTTACTAGACCTTTATAGGGCGGTGTGCTGTGGTAAACAGTTCCGTTGTGTGCTGGCATGTCAGTTATGTGTCAAGAGTGATTTAGGTCGGCTGTGGAGAACAGCGAGAGTTTATTGTCGACTGAGTGGGAGCAGTGGAGCCAGACATCCATGTTTTATCAGCTCATATAATTTTAAGAAATGTTTGTTAAGTTCTGCATATTTTAATCACAAGTTCCAGACAAGCTATTTTCATTCTGCTCCTGTCCTGGCAGTTGTGGAATGAACATGTTTGAGACATGCTTCATTCCCAAATCTTTAGCTAAAAAGGTGTTACTTGAGCCATAAATAATTCCTACCTATTCACCTATTTCAAGAATAGTCAGTGTTCTGTCATTTGACTAGCTACCAATTGAATTGAGATTTGAGGTTCTCACAGTGAGAGGTATGAAGATGGCCGCCTTCAGAGTTGTTGCACCATGCAGTCTGGCATAAGTTTACTGACATTTCATAGATGCTTGTTGATGAAGGCAGCAGGCGCCTCTGAAATGTCAGTAAACGTCTACCAGACTACATGGTGCAACAGCTCGGAAGGCAGCATCTTCTAGCTACAGATCCATTGTCTATTGCGACAAAATCATTCTGACTTTAAATACTGGCTGCAAAAGATTGAAGCATGCCTGAATGTGCAGTAACATATCAAGATTTGCACTTTGCAGTCAAGTTCCAGCCTGGTGCAATTTATCTGACATTTGAATTCAGCCTCAATGCTTTCTCATCAGACCTTGTACTTAGTTCCTTTTATGTCTGAATGTCTTTCTGAACCATAACCTGTTAAGATACTCTTTCATTTCTCCTCCTATATATAATTGAAAGTTGTTGAAACACTTAAAACAGTTAAGAACAAATAATTGTCTCCAGCTGATTCAGACTTAAGTGAAGAAGAGGAAGAGGAAGAGGAAGGTGAAACAAGTCAAGATGCAAGAGATTCTGATGAAGAATTCCAGCCGGCTCCTTGGGAAAAGGATAAAGGAAACCCTCTGCCTGAACAGAGCTCTATTCGGTAATTAATTCCCTCTTTATCTTCTATTTCCGGTTTAACAATGTTTATACATTTTCTGGTACCCTTTTACGGGTCCCAACTTTCCGTTGGCTTGATCTATAGACATTTTGGTAGGACTCCTTGGACGAGGGATCAGCCTGTCACAATGCCTCTACCTGTACACAGGACAGCACAACACGGACAAACATCCATGGCTTGAGTGGGATTCGAACCCATGATCCCAGCGGCACAAGGCTCATGCCTCAGACCGCGCGGCCACTGCGGACCCCACTCCCTCTTTATATTGTACATAAAAATATTTTTATGCTTTTATTCTGTGAATATGTAAAGGTTATGAGGACATTGGCATTGCACAGATACATTTGCGAGGTGAATATCCTCTTCAACCTCTTTGGTTGTTACTGTGTCATGTGTTGGGATGGAAGTCCATTGTATTTTAGTTTAATTCTATTACTTATTTTCCTGCCCTTGTGTTTATTCTTGTAATACAGGCTGAAGAGGGCGTATGTATAGCAATCTGTAATCAACTATGAGTTGAGGCTCTTGAAAATTTACATTGTATGCATTAACAATCTGTTCAGAACACTTATAGACAAGTCACATGTGGCACTTATGATGTTTGGTTGCAGCCACTGATATTATGAGCAAATATGTGCATTACGTTGACCCAGTAATTGTCATGTATGCTGAACAAATCTGTGTGGAAAGAAGAAAAACTTTCAAGTGGTTAATTATAATACTAATGCTCAGTTTACATTTCCAGAACACGGCTGAGGAATCGGAATTCTCGTCATGGTTCTTTTGATAGTCAGA